CCCGCGCCGCTCCCCTTCCATCCCGCTCCACCTACCCCGACCGGTGAAGCAGTCAGCTCCTCGCCATCCCCCCGCTCTGCTTTTATCCCCTTCTGCTCGACCCCTGGGATCACCAGGACACGGCGAGCCAGTGCCTCTCCGCCCAGCCAGCCATGCGCTTTCCCATCCCAGCAGCAAAGTCACATCGCCACCAAAATTACTTTTGTGGCTTTTCAGCACCGCGGCTGACCTCCTGGCCAGCTGCTTGGGTAACATACCAAGGCTAAACAGCTTCAAATGCATGCCCCTGTGCTATACAAAAGTCAGAAAGCCAAATGCTGGTCCATTTGTTTAGATGTAAATCAGAGGGAACCACAAACAGCTCCAGCATTTACGCAGCACTGGGCCGACCCATTGAAAAGACAAGCACTCATCTGCTCCATCCAGCTATCTCGATCTGTTTCAGTCATGTAAATATATTCAAATGTTCACCCTAAAAATAATTGCAAATGCTGCAAGAGCCATTTCAATGCATCGTAGCTGGAGCGGTCAGGATTTAAGGCCAACTGGAATAATTACGGCTATGCAGACCAAGACAGGCTAATTAGCAGGAAAGACCTGCAAAAAAAAAAAAAAAAAAAAAAAAAAGGAGGCTGGGAGCACAGAAGTGCTGTTTTCTTTGCAAAAACAGCTTACAGTGAGCGTTTCCCACCGAGATGCTCCCGGCAGCCCCGGTGCCAGTGCCCCCGGAGAGGAACAAGAAGACCCACTCACTGTGTGGTGCGAAGCGGGAGGCGGGCTGGGAGCCTGTGGCACCGGCAGCACCCGCTGGGACAAAGTGCCATGTCCCTGGGGATCACCCTGCCACCCTGGCCAGGGCAGGGACAGCCCCCACCGCTGCCCATCCAGCACCACCAGCACGGGGAAGCCCTCAATCCGCTGCGGGGCAAGGGGAGCCGGGGGTGCCGACGGCTGCCGTCGGGGAGCTCGGCTTCTCCCTTCCTGCGGTGCTCCGGACTCTCCCCGCTGCTGCAGCAAACCACCGCTCCTGCCAGCAGGACAGCCCCGCTCTGCCTCCCGCGCAGCGGCACCGGTGGGGCCGAAGCAGAAGGGAATTCTCCAGCGGGATTATCCCAGTGCGCCCGGGCAGGCCGGAGAGGCACCCATGAGCGCGCCCGGCAGCGGTCTGCTGAGCAACCGCAACCAACCCCGGCTTATTTTCAACTCTTTTGTGCAATCCTCCACCACGAATTCCCCCGAATTTATGAGGCTTATTAGTCTATGAAAGAACAGGGATGGATCATTTCCTCCACAGCAGATATCTGGTGGAAAATATCATGGCATAATTGGGCGGCACGGCTGTCTGATCAGATAGGACCTTCTAGCCCTTCGGATGCCCGAGCTGGCTCTGAGAGCTTTCCAGGAATTAGGGAGCTCTCGGGGGCTTCTCTGGCTCATCACGGCAAGGACTAAAAACCACCGCAGCTGGTGGCAGGAGCAGAAATCGAAGTGCCAGCAGCCGACCCCGGGCTGAAGCCCCCGAGCGCAGCTCGGACACTGCCAGACAGGGACAGGCTGTGACCCGCAGCCAGGGACTCTGTCCCCATTTGCCATCAGGGCAAGGCTGGGCCCCAGAGCAGAGAGCATGGGGGAGGATGGGAGCTGGCGGGGAAGTGACAGCAGAGCAGGGACAAACAAGGACGCAAGAGGTCCTAGAGGCAGAAAGTCTGCCTTATTTTGCATGCTGATCGGACATTAGCACAAACAAGGCTTAAACCATTCCTGGTCAGCTTGTGAGGGCAACGCGGTACTAACAGGGCATCAGCAGTGGCGTGCACAGACCTAGGAAACATTCGCCGGCCCGTGCCCAGCGTCACGGGGGAATCGACTGCTCTGGCGCTGCCATCCGACGCACTCACCTGCCCCCGGGAAGTTCATTTTGCTGCTAGCTGAGCTTCATGCTGAAACACAGGCGGCCGCGTAAATACCTAATGGGAAAGAAAAGCCACAATGGTCATTTTTTTATTTATCACGGCCTTCTGCACGCACGGCGACGAGCGATGCTCTCCTCCTTGGGAACTCGCCCCGCCGCAGGCACCCCTCCTGCCCACAGCCCCCCTGCCAGCCCAGGGAAAGGTGGTCCCGGCTCAGGGCCAGCAGCCCGCGACTCGGCCACCCACCCCATGGCACCAGCGCCGCTCCACCATGGCGGCGTCCGCAGGGCTGAGCCAGAAGGAGAAGGCGAGGGCAGTGGGAAGGCGGCTGCTCTTTTAGGAAATGAAGCCCCAGGGGGACGGGAGCAGCTGGGATGTTTAAAACCCGGGGGACGGCGGTCCAAACGTGGCACGCTTCCATTGCACGCAAGCGACCGGCGCAACAGCCCGTCCCAGGGGAAGCAGCCCCAGAGTCGCCTGCCGCGGGCTTTGGTACAAACGCTGACATCAGGCACAAGTCAGGCCACAGCCAGAGCCCCCAAACCAGGAACAGCACAAGGAGATGTGGCCCAGGGGACTCCCCAGGCCTGGCAGGTCGCGCTCCAGCCTCCAGGCGGGGGCAGGGGGATGCCAGGCTCTGTGCTGGGAGCCGCCAGGATCTCCCTGGCTCCAGCCCAAGGAACAAATCTCTCTCCGGCCTCACCGAAGCGGCGGCGCCAGCCCCTCGTGGCTCACAGACCCCACCAGGTAGGGAGCCAACACCCGCACGTCGGCCCAAAGGCCAGGTTTCCCACAAGGACACAACGCCTGTGCCCACAAGGACGGCACCCACCCAGGGAGCCCAGCGGCCGCCCACACCGCCTTGGCTCGAGCTGTCCTGCAAGCGCAGAGCACGCCGGTGCCAGCGTGCATGCACAGGGATCCTGCCCGCGGAACGGCAGGCGTGGCCCCGCCGGAGCCCAGAGACCGGCAGG